AAGGGGTTAAAACAACCGGCTGGGAGATCAAATGTGTTACTCGAGTGACTAAGCAGGCGTTGCTAACTCTGGCAAGGCAGCCTTTCTGAACACAGGGCAAATTCTTCCCTCTGGTGTGCCAGTCAAGTCCAGGAACGACTTTACACCTCTTGAACGCGGGTTCCCATTCCCATTCACCCAAGGTAAGCTGGCTATATGCGCCAATTCTTTTTAAGAAGTATCTTTTAGTAAGAATCTTATATATAAAATTCACTGAAGTTATGATAACCGAAGTATACAATACTTCAGCCCAGATAAATGAAGTTTTACTTTCAATACAACCTCTTTTTTTTACAACGAGCAAATATTGACATAGCAGAAGATGCTATTTAATATTGTACAGTTTCTAATTTATTGGGAAGAAGCCGCCAGTTACTGAGAAGTGAAGCTTCTCTTGGTGCTCTACTCACTGAACTGGTTTCCTGCAGAACACTGCAGGAAATTCAAGAGCTGGAAGTTTATTCTGCAGAAGGACAGAGCCAAAGAACCTCTGACAGCGTGGCATCAGGGCTGAAAACCATCCAGAAAGCAGCCCGGGCAATGGTACGGGGTAGGTCCCAGAGATGTCAGACCTACCTAGCAAACGCATGCTCATCTGTGCGTGCACAGCAGCCTCTCCCTCACATTTTTTCTGTTTTTTAAAGACAGCAGCCTTACACGGCCCAGCCTGCTTTCAGAACACCTCTCCTCACAAATACGTAGCTGTGAACTTCAAGGCTGAGGCTTGTAAGCCCACAAATCCGCTTCTTCTGGAACAGGCTGCAAAACCCAGTGCCAGACGCCGCTGGGACGATCACAGATCTCCCGGAGGGTGCTCTTCCCCCAGTTTTTTCCCCCACCAGCGACATGCAGCAAAGCAAGAGGAAAGATGAGACAGAAAAAGAAGTTAAAGTGAGCAGTGAGCATATGCAGAAGAAAACCAGAAAAAAAAATAGGAAAGGCAAGTACAAGAACTAATTTCGACTCGGCCAGCCCAACAGAGATCCCAGACAGCCGGGACTCATCTCAGCGATGGAGTAAAAGACACGGAACAGCAGAGCAGGCATGGGCCTCGATTACTGAGCAGGCCCTTCTGCAGAAACACGCTGGCAACGCTCTGGAAGCTCAGGCAGGACCGGAGCGAGCAGAGCAACGCCACGGCCGAGGCAGCGAAGCCACAGCGCAGAGGAAAGGCGCAATTTCCATGTTGGCATTTGCCTTGGTGAAAAGCTACAGGAACGAGGGAGATGACAAGAAGAGTTATTTTCCAGCATTCTCTAAAAGAAGATTTTCAGTATCTCAGTAATTGTTCAGATTCCTTTTTTGAAGCCAATTCAAGATCCCAGGATTCAAAAATCACTGGAACGGTGCTGGCAAGTCACTCGGACACTTTCACCTAACGTAATGTAATCTCTCTAATAAAAACTCACCAGAAGCATGGCCTACCACAAAGCAAACACACTTCCAGTGACAAGACAAATTCTTTTTCAGACTAAGAAAGCACGTTTTGTTCAGGCAAGTCAATCACTAAGAGTATATTTTTGGAAGCCCCACCACATTTTGCATTTTCGGGTCCGCAGTGTTATTGCCTTGGGACTGGAACAGGATTATCTCCCTTTCAAGCCCCATTTGAGGATCAGTGGTGATTAATCCTGGAGAAACAGGGTTTTTGTTAAATTGTTTTATAAAAAAGATAAATACAACAGCAAAATCTATCAGGAGATCAGTGTTTCACCTCCTCCTTCATTCCCCATCTGTCCCGGAGCTATTCTGTACATTGCTCTTCATGAAAGAAAAGGATTTATAGATACTATTTTCTTAGTCTAGTGAAGCAATAATCCAAGCAGGAAAAAAGCGCAAATCCCAGCATGCGTTTGCCTCAATTTTTCCAGACATTTTAAAGTCAGGACTAGCATTGCAGAAATCCTCCAGACCTATCCTAGCAGCAGATCACCTGCATAAGAAAAACAACCCTTTGGAACAGGGGGCTCTTACGAATATTCATAAATACTGAATATTACATACCACTCCTGAAGGAGCTTAATCTCCTACAGGACTCTAGCAAGAGCTGGAAAAACAATAAAAGACCTTGACACAACCAAACCACTGTTGGAGTATTATGAAGGTTCTCCCGACGAGCTCTGGCCGCTGCGAGGAGGGACCCCAACGCCTGGCAGTGAGCTCTCATCTCAGCACCTTCCCCCACGATGGGGCTCTGACCGGGGACCTGCCGCAGAATCCTCCCCAAGTCACAGCCAAGAAGAGCAACACTGCAAAACAGGCACAGGAGGGGAAAGCAGGGCAATCACAGCAGCTGCTGACTGCAGTAGTTCTGCCCAGCACGAATCCAAGCCTCACGCCGAAGCTGGGGAGCGGCTCGCGGCGCGGCGTGTGTGGTCCCAGCGCACACGTGGGGCCGAGCAGCCCTTGCCCTCAGCGAGCCCAGAGCAGGCAGAGCCTACCCGGATTTCTTTATCCTTCACAAGTTTCAGGCTTTTGCTCTAGTTTTACCCCCCGAACCCTCTGCCGAGCCACTGCACGACGCGCCGCACCCGAAAGGCCCCGGCACACCGTGACGAACGCAGCCGAGCACACGGACGTGGGTTTCCGGAGCCAGCCTGCGCCGACGCCCTCGGCTCTTCCCACCTGGATGGGGTACAGCCCCGAGAGCTCATAAACGCGGAGCACACGTGCGTACTTGTGTTGCAGCTTGAAGCTTGGTCCTTTAATTAACCTGCAACAAGAGGGAAATCTTCCCACGTCTCACCTGTTGTGCAAGGAGAACAAAGGTTTTCCAGTTCATAACCCATGGACGCAGCTGTGACAACAGGTACTTTACAGCCTACAGCACGGGAAAGGGAAGAACAAAATCGAAATGCTCAGGCATCCGAGGTTTCACTTGTTTATTCTGAAGATACAACCTAGCCCCATTTTTAGCAAAAATCTCTAGAAGACCCAATACATACACTCACGTTTTGATTATGATGATGTACAGCTTCACCTCTGCGTCAGATTCCTGCAATATCTAATATCCAAATTCATAAAAAATTCTGACTATTCATCGGTTCCATGGAGCCAATCAAACTAAGACATGGTATTTCTTGTAGCCCTGCAGAATACATATTTTGCCCAAAACAAAGAACTATTCCTAATCACATTGCTTTGAATAATCAGTTCATTGTCATTCCTGTGCTAAAGAAAATACCGTTAGTAATTTATAGAAGTTGCATAAGGAGTAATAGTTCAGAAAAGCCCAGTATGAGATAAATTAAGCCTACACGTTCATGAAAGTCATTAAAAGGTAGCTATAATGATATGCCCAAGAATTCTCATTCAGATGGGCTGAGCAGGAGCCCTGCCAGGTGTCAAGTCGCCCTCATCTCAAATCCTTGATACTACAGCACTGCAGAAGACTTGGGCTTTGCTCTGGAAAGACGCCAGCAAGTCTGCTGGGACTCCTGGAATCCAGAGCCAGGGGGAAAATCCACTCCCAAAACTCCTGCAGAAAAGGAACGCTTCGAATTCCTTCACCAAAGGCACCCTTGGGCTCCCTCCTCTTTCCTCACCATCCGCAGACCCGCGTCGCTGTCCTCAAAGCGCTCTCCGGGCCTCGGCCGGGGCACGCCGTCCCAGGGACGCGGAAGGGAAGGGCCAGCTGGGGTCCCGTGCGCTCTGGCCCACGCTCACCACCACTTTCTCCACAGGGTAGTTCTTTGCCCACCTTCCATCTCCCACCTCCCACCTCCTCTCATCCTCAGATTACGAATACGTCCACACGAGCTGTCTGCTCCCAGCCTCTAAGTCTGTGCACTAGCAGGGACTGACGCTTTCCCTCTCCTTCAGCATCCAAGTTTTTTTGCATTTCAGATCTTTCCACATCATCTTACACCTCAGGGACGTGACCTTGCACCATGATGCTATCATTTACTTCATCTGTTCGCTTTCATCACTCTATTTGCATATCCTTGTCATATTATTATTCCACACAGAGTTCTGCAACCCAGATATGTAGAAATTAAGTAACGTACATGGAAAAGCATTATGAAATGAAGGTACATCATATCAGCATATGTTGTTCATATCAGCAATACAAATGATGGGGGGAAAGTGGTCTATGGCCACCTCATTAATTTCCTGCTAACTTTCAACCAATTACTAGGAGCTTGGGGTATTTTAAAACTTCACGACAGGAAGCAATATTACTTGTAGATTTACCGGGGGGGGGAAGGGGAAATAAACAGTGTACATTTGAGTGAGGAGTTAACAGTTACACACATTTTACACACATGCAACTTCAGCTACCTGAAAGAGTATTGATTAAATAGACTCAATACTTCCAAATTAAATTTATTTTCAAAATATTTAAATATAAAAATAAAGGAGGCCTGCACAATGTATAGCAGTCTATACTCCCACCTAAATGGGTTTCCTATTGAAAAATATTGAAGTAGCATTGCTGTACCAAGCTCAGGATTCCAGAAAACAGCTACGGCCTAATGCCCTTTTTCCAAAATAGAAAGGTAACAACTCATCTTGTTTAGGAGAAGAACGATGGTATCAGTCATAAAATATTCAAGTTTATTTTTAATCCTGATGATAGTAAATGTGAAAGGACTGGTGAAAACAAGCTCTATCGATCAGCTGTTTTCATACGAGTGTCGTGCCACGTGGTAACGCTATTTGGCTGTGGCTTGCTGTCAGACTGACAGCCAGCTCCTGCGGCTCTTCGCTAGCGCTACCAAGATTTATCTCCTTTGTAGTGGCTTGATTAACTCAAATCCAAAGCCAAGGCAAACGTTTTTGATTTGGTCCGATTGTTACATTGCTCTATTCTTAGCTTACAGTGACAACATACGAACGCTGAGGATATTTTTCTTGGTTTTGTGTGTGACTGTACTTTATGAAAAAGATTTCAAGGCACCGCCCAGGTAATTGGGCATCTCAGCAAAGAGGAGGAGGTTGCAGATACTGACACACAAATAGGACATTAAAGTTCTTTGAAGATCATTCCCTTGGTGGTCAGTATGAAGCTCTGTTTCTCTTTACTGCTGACTATGAAAGTCACAACAGCGTGCAGCGAGGTCCCAGCCAAGCTCCTCTCCCCAAGGCAGCCTTCAGGGGGAGAGCAGGCGAGAGGCAGGGCCGCAGCCCCAGCCCCACACAACGCGGGCAGAGCGGGCTTTGAACTCCAGTGCTCCTGATCATTTAAACAGCATCTGCCTTCACGCTTTGCCCTTGCAAAGCCTTGACACTCCAGAGAGAAAAACGGTCGGCTCACCCAGGCGCATCGCTGGCTTTCGTCTCTAGCAGCCAGCAGCGCAGACCAGGAGGAGATCCGCAGAGCGGTACAGCTGATGCTGAGGTCCTGCCAGCCGTCACACACACACTCCAAAGGGATTTTTCTTCAAACTAGTTCTACCTTTGACCTGCAGACTGAATGGCCATGAGTGGTTACAGCACGAGCCGTGCTCCAGGAGCACAGACCCCGGTCAGCTCAATCCAACAGGAGCTCGGTCCGTACGCACCGGCATGGCAGCAAGGGCTGAGATTCATTCCAGAAGCAC